AAGACACTTGTGGGCAGACGAGAGACGCAGGACCCTACCCAGCGCAGCCCGTGGGTTCCCATCATGGCCCTGCCCGCCCCTCGCCATCACTAGTGACCTTCAGCCCAGAGCAGGGGGTCTGATGAGCCGGGCCAGGACTTCCCTGTGGAGGAGGAGGTCCAGACAGAAGGCAGCCTGGGCTGCAATCCCTTTATTGTCGCGGCCCGGCTTGAGAGGTGGGGCTCACGCTGAGGCTAAGGAGAGGGGTGTGTTCACACCTAGAGCCATCTCTGTACGCAGTAGGTAAGGCAACATCTAGAACATTGTGACCACCCATATCCAGAGGCAGCGGGTCCCAGGAGCTGGCCTGCCCCCGACACCAGGCTGCCTGCGATGAATTCTTCGAGGCACTTGTAGGGGTGTGTCTGGCACTTATGCAGGTGAAGGGGGCCCACAGGACGCTGTGGGTGAGTGCGGGGCTGTGCATTGCACCAAAACAGACAAAGGGGGCTCTCCCGAGGCAGAAGGTGGTGGGAAAACAGGGCTGCTGAGGGAGGGCAGCCTGCTCCAGGTGAGGATGTGCTGACCGGCGCCGTGCGGGCTCCGGCCCCTGCCGTGTCCAGATCTCTGCAGAACGCTGACTTCTTTTCTGGACCCCTGTGTGCTTCCAGCATCGTGTCCTACCCTCTCCAAGGAGCTCGTGACCGTGACACCTCTGAGCAGGGACCCAGGAGGGGCTGTCCTGGGCGCAGAGCTGCTTCCTCACAGGCAGGGCAGGCATGGCTCCGGGGAACGGCTTCCCCGCTCCCAACTCGTCTTTTTGTGTGCCCCATCGGAACCTGCCTTATCCTGGGCTTCTGTCCCCTCCAACCCTGTCTCACCTCCCAGGCGCGAATAAGGTCACAGTTCCAGAAAGCTCTGGGCCGTCCTCTCCCTCTGCAGCAGCCGTCTGGGCGGGATGGTGCCCAGGGAAGAATCACAGCGAACCCTGCCCTCAGCCAGGCGGGCCTCCCCCAGGACAAGGCTGCGCAGGGCACACACGCCCATCACCCTGAAGCCACCTGCACGAGCCCGGCTGACCTCCATGAAGAACGCAGGGGCCCCACCAGGGGCAGACGCGGGCCAGCACGACACCCCCTGCCACCCCCGCCTCCCGCAGGCCCCTCGGCAGGAGGAACACAGCACTCTCCCTTGCAGCCCTCACGTGGTAAGACTTGTCAGTCTGATACCCAGCCCTGCAGAGACTTAGGAGTCGTGGTCATTTCTCGATTGTCGGCAGGAGTCCCAGGGAGCCGGAGGGCCACAGAGATCATCAGGGCACGGTTTTGCAGCCTCGGCGCGGCCTGGGGTTGCTGGGAAGCCGGTCTCTCTTTTAATGAATTCGCGTTGGAGACCCCCTGGAGGATGGCGCAGCCAGGGCTCCGACAGTCCCCCGGGGGAGCCCGGGGCCGGGATTCTCTGTGCATGAGGGCAATGCCTCTTCTGGGGGTGTGCGGCCTCGGTGCAGTTGGAGCTGTGTTGGGGGCAGCACTGACCCAGGAATGGGAAAGAAAACACCCTTCACCTGGGACCGATCCGGGTCAGCAAGGGATGGGGGAGGCAAGGTGTGGCCTTTCCCAGCGTGGTCTCCGCATCACAGGGGGCCTCATGTCAGGGATGGGAAGCAGGAGCAGGGGGACCAGGACCCGGGAGACGGGGAAGCCGGTGTGGGTTCTGGTGTTGGGAGCTGCCCACTTGCGACAGGCACGTGGAGGGGCCCCACGGCTGTCTTACGAGTTGACATGCGTTCTTTGGAAAACTGGCAGCATCCGTCCCCGGTATTTGCGAGGACCTCCTTTCTGTTCTCCCTCACTCTTCGGGAAAGTTCAGCAACTCAGGGATGAAGGAGAGAACCTCAGCGGGGGCTCTATCCACTCCGGGAAGCGGAGCGGGGCCCCTGCAGGCGGCCGGGGGGTCCAGGAGCCAGGACAGGGAGGTTCAGGGCAAAGCGCCCCTCTGCTCAGAGCTGCACCTTCTCAGAGACTCCAGCTTTGCAGGGTCTGAGATTCAGTTTAATCAGGAGGGAGGATTCTCCCACCAACATTAAGAGCTGAAAGTGGTTTTAAAAGCCTGGCCTTCCCGAGAATCAGGCCACAGACAGGAGACCCGCGAGGGGCACCTGCTGGAGACGGGGCCTGGGGCCGTGGTCTCCCAGGGGAACTGCTCAGGGGGGGGGGGCAAGGGGGCCGCCTGCTCCCTGTCCCGGGGGGCTCCACCCTGCCTGCCGCAGCCCAACCCCAGCTCCCCACCACCTGGCTCCTGGGCCCTGCAGGGAGGAACCAGGCCACCACAGGCACACTCCCCTCCAGGTGAGGAGGGTGGAGGGGAGGGCTGGGGCTTCTGGGGGCAGAGCCGTCTGGAACCCCCGCATCCGATGCACTTTTGGAGCCACGGAGGCAGGAGGAGGAACGCTCTGCACTCACGGGGGGGCCACGTACCGAGCGCAGGTGTACCCAAGGGGCCTGGGGCTGGAGCTGGGAGGCAGTGGAGTCCCCAGGGGCCACACCTGGCGAGGCTCTGGCTGTGGCTCCCAAGGGGATCCGTATCCTGCCTGGGGATTCTGGAACAAGCGCTCGGAGTTGGTGGGCGGAGGCCGAGGGCCCCCCGCCTGGGTGGAGCTGCAGGAGCCACAGTCTCAGGCACTCGGTGGGTCGGAAGGGGCTGGCACAGAGTGTGGGGAGTTACCCCGCAGGCCCGGCCGATGGGATCTGGGCACCTGAACTCAAGGGGAGCAACTGGAGGGGACGTGGCTGGGCATGTTAGTAAGAATGCAGCTGGAGCCTCCGGTGGAAGCAGCAAGTGAGGGTCATTCCGCAGACCTGGAGGCAGAGAGAGCAGGCACGGAGGTCAGAGGCACCACTCTGCGGGCCGGCGAGCCCTGAGCCGGCTCCCCGCCAGGCGCACTTGTGGACCCCAATCAAAAGCAGGCCCGGGTGGGCCCGAGATTCTGCACGGCTGACAAGCCCCCGGGGGAGACTCGGGGTGGAGCTGGGGACGCACTGAAAGTGACTGGCCGGGAGCAGTGTTTCTCACACTTGAGCAGGCACGCACGGCCTGGGGACCTTGTCCTTATACCGTAGGTGACAGTTCTGGGGCCCGGGGAGGGCCTGCCCTATGGCGAGCATCCCGTCCTCGCTGCTGGGCTGTGTTCCCGGAGCTTCCCCAGGGATGGCCCGAGTGACTTAGGTCCCGTGTGGTAACATCTCCACTCCCTCGCTGCTGTCTGCAGCAGCCTTTCTCTGGAAAGAGTCTGTGTCTTGCTGCTCTCAGACGCCAGAGCCAAACTGGGGCCTGAGTCGAGTGTCTGGCTGATGTGCAGGAGGGAAATTTGAGGCTCTGATGTGAGCCTCCCAGAACTGGCACCGTCCTGTGAATTAGCTGGGGATGCGGCCCCCACCCCGGGCCCAGAGCCTGCTGCCAGCCCCTCCGTCACATCCACTAGCTGCCTGACGCCGGACAGTGCTGGGCCATCACCTCTCGAGTCTCAGTTTCCCATCTTTAAACTCCACCCTCTATTCCTCACCTTGCTCTCCGTGCGCCTCCTCCTTCCTCCTTTCCCTCTCCTCCCAAACCCAAGGATGCGCTGAGGACGGGACGGTGGGGATGGGTCAGAGCAACGAGCCCAGGACCGTGGTGGTGCTCTGGCAAAGACGACGCCACCCGCTCCTGGCTCCCTGCCCGCAAGAGGTGGACACGGGCTGAGGAGGGTTTCCCAAGGACAGCAAACAGTGCCCCATCTGCCCCCACTCTCCCAGCGGCTGCTGCTGACCTGGTCCTGCCAGGGCACGCCTGGACGTCCACCCAGGAGGATGGGCTGAGGGGATGTCCCGGGGCTGCAGGCACGAGCTGTGAGGCTCAAGGCGGGCGCAGGGGTGAGCCCTTCTGTGTCCCCCTCCTCCCTCCCCTCCATCCCCACGTGGGAGGGTCACCCCTGGGAACACAGCTTTCAGCTTTCAGCCTTGGTGCTAAGAGCGGTGCTAAGCCACCCCTGGGACTCGGAGCCGCATGCTGAAAGGTGGCTTAAAGCGGGTGGCTGTCACAGCCATCCCATCCAGGGGTCGCGCGGGCCCCTCATGGTTCGGTGACTTGTCCTGTGGGGTTATCTGGGTCTTTCTGATCCTTGCCAAGGGGGAGGCCGGATGGGGAGGGTTAGACCAGCACAGACTTGTGTCCGTGTCCCCTGTGGTGCATGTCTCACGCCGGGTAGGACCGCGAGGGCTGAGCGTCCTGCACGCACACTCTGTGCACGGTGTGTGTTCCCAGGGTGCCCCCCCAGGGAAGGCACAATGAGGTGGACATCCGTGCGTGTCCGGACACACATACACACGCCACCCTGATGCAAGCAGACGGGCCATGGACACTACCTGGTCCCCAAGTGAGCACCAGTGTCCCCTTCCTGACTGAGGACTCGGAGGAACCCACACAGACAGCTCCGAGCGGCCAGCACCGGGGCGAGTGAGGAGAACACAGGACGAGGGGCTGCAGGAGCAGGGGCGGCAGACGGTGGGCGGGACGGGCTGCAGGGCCCAGCCGGCGCGGGTACGGGGCGTGGGACGGTGGGCGGGACGGGCGTGCAGGGCCCAGCCGGCGCGGTACGGGGCGTGGCGCCCTCCTGGCCGCCTGCCTGGACGCGGAGCTTGCCAGGGCAGGGCTTCAGCTTCTTCTGAGGGTTTTGAGCAGCACCTGGCTGTCATCAAGGCCATCAGCGAAGGGCCAGGGAGGTCCCATGAAGCCATTGCAAGAGGACCTTTCCGTTTCCCTTCTAGTGCCCTGCAGATCCCGGTCCCATGTCTTGCGAGTTCTCTGGACTCATGCTTCCACCTTGCAACGCGGGCATTTTAAAGCCCTCTGGATGATCCCAGCGTGCAGCCCAGGCTGGGACCGCTGCTCAGAGGCTCCGGGAGACCCCTCCCCCTCCGGCATCCTGGCCGTCCAGCCTGCCCTGGTCTCTGAACAGACCAGTGTCTGGCCCACACATCCACGCGCAGCAAGGATGCTCGGCTGGAATCAGGTTCGGGTGACAGTCTGGCCTGAGCACCCCTCGAGGCGGGTGCCCACGTGGACTCGGGCGGTAGTTCTGAAACTGGCCAGCAGGGGGCGCTGGAGCCCGCGGCTCGGAAACCTCAGGGATAAGGATGGAGAAAATGGGCCAGGCGATGCCATCTCAGGGACGTGAGGAAGCACAGCTCCGCGCTGTGCCATGGAGGACGAGCCCCCCGTGGTGGGGGTGAGTGGGGGGCTGCGGGCACCCTGACCAGTGACCTGGCCTCCTTGGCATCACTCCTCCAGCTGGACTCGCCTCCCCCTGGCCTCAGGCTCATGGGCCCCACTCCCTGCCCTTGACCTCACCGGCCTTGTCTTTAACTTCAGGCTTTCGATGCCCGAGGTCAGGAGGAAACGGACAGAGAGAGTAGCCCAGGCCTGGCTGGTGTCCGCAGAGCAGGCCCCTCGACCCCCGAAGTCGGAGCAGGAGCTGCAGCACAGAGCACCCCTCCCGGTCCCACTGGCAGCTCCCCGGGCGTCAGTGCACCAGGCAGAAGCCCTGCCCTGGGGCGTGAGGGGCTGTGCGAGCGCCCCTGGCTCGCTGTGCCTGCCCGAGTGCAGGTGAAGGGGTGGCCTGGTCCAGCTGGGAAACTTCTTGGCTCTTCTGCGAGACGCTGTGCCCGCCGGCAGCCATACGTCACGGTGGGCACCGTTTACTGAGCACCTGCTGGCTCTTGGCCAGGGATCTACGTGCTCACTGCCTAGTCCCTCTAGTCACCAACTGCGGTACAATTAAGCCCATTTCACAGGTGAGGAACCGAGGCTCAGAGATGAAATAACCAACCCTAGGTTGCCTGGTCCCCTCCAGAGGGTGGGCCCTCTCCCCGGATCCCTGGGTGCGCAGACGGAGGTGGGCAGGCAGCGCGGTGATCTGGAAGGAACCGGACAAGGGGAGGCTCCCCAAGCCAGCCGCCGGCACCCCTGCTTCCCTCCACGGACTCTGTGTTGGGGGTCGGAGTTCGGGAGAGCCACGGACCAGGTGCCCGGAGACCCAGTGCCAGTTCAGGAGGTGAGACCCTGAGGAAGTCACCCGCCTGCTCTGTAAATCGGGGAGGACATGACTGTTCCCCTGGACGGGTTCCGGCTGTGGTGGGGGTTGGAGAGCACCTGAAGCCACTCGGAGGCTGCAGGAAGCGTCCACCGGGAGGCCTTCCCATGAGCAGGCACAGTCAATGCATTGCCCGCACCCCCTCCTTCCCACGTAACCTCACGGGGCTGGGAAAGGGTCCGCGTGCTGCGGAGGAAGGAGCCGAGGGGCGGGGAGGTGCCCGCTCACCCCACACGGGAGCAGAGGCAGAACGGGCTTGGGTCCTCGGGTGCCCGGCCACTGCTCGGACCCTCCCTCCACAGCGCTTATGGTACCAGGACAGGGAAGGACAGGGCAGGACACAGCTGCTCTAGAACCAGCTGGGCTGACGTGGGCGTGCCGGGCGAGGTGGGCACGCAGGACCCTTGCTCGCTGCATCTGCCCGGCCCCTGAGCCCTCTCCACTCTCCACTAGACTCCGGGGCGGTGGCTGGGGGAGGGGCGTGGAGTGATGAAATGGAGCAAAGGGCATCGCTCACCCTCAGAGCACAGAGCCAGGTGTGTGCAGGGGCGCACACAGCCCCAGGGGCGTCCACACATGCATCATACACACACACACAGTAACGAGCATGTGTCCATGCACAGACATATACACACATGCACAGACACCCGAACACACAGTGCATCCAGCCCCGACCATGTACACCCAGATGCATGCAGACACACCCCGGGCCCACGGGACCACAGCAGGCTGTGCACACAGCTCCCGGCGTGCACACACAGGGTGCATGCACATACCTGGGCCCACACTCCCACTCCTCCCGGGGCTCTCTTCCTTACAAGTTCAAGGTGGCCCCAGGCCCCAGGTGTTTTCCGTCAAGTTTTCTGGGGGAGAGAGTGACCATCTGACTTACCTTTGGCTGCAGAAGGAAGGAGGTGGGAAGGAGAGGGCAGGCAGGGCAGGGGTGGGCAGAGGGCCATGATCTGAGACCTCTGCCAGTGGGCGAGGGGCTCGGAGCTTGGACAACCCCCTCCCCAAATCCCTGCTCTGGCTCACCTGCAGGCAGGCCACCCCGATGCCCACCGCGCCCATGAGCAGCAGGTGGTCGGCCAGGAACTGCTCCAGCTTGGTGATGCAGCCGCCCTGTAAGGTCCAGAAGGCAGGTCACACACACCGTGGCCCAGAAGTGGGTGAGCGTAGGAAGGGAGAGCTGGCAGGGGGCTGGATCCGCTCAGCTGAGGGAGGCTAGACACTTAAAGGGCCAGGTCCAGCCTTTCAAGTGCCCACGGGCTTCTCAGGTGACCCAGGTGCAAGCCATGGTGTCCCAGGACGTCCCAGGGGCAGCTGCCGTCCCCAGGCTCCGTGGGGACCTTTGAAGGCCCGCTGCTGTCTTGTGGCCAGTGAGTAAGTGTGACCTCTCCCCACCCACCTGCCGAGTCCACCTAGCCAGGCTCCGGGCTCTGGGATGTCCGGCCAGGGCCCCCTGCTCGCCCCAGCCAGCCAGGCACTTACCTCCACCTTGTAGATGTTGGAGGGGTGGGCCCGCTGGCCGCAACGGGCCACCACCGTCTTGCAGCAGCTGTCGGGCACCCGGCGGCCCTCAGCCTCCCGAGACAGGATGTAGGTGCTGTGCTGCCAGTCGGCTGAGCTGTTGCTCCCGCAGCATTTGAACTGGAGCGAGAGGCAGAGGCTGCAGGTGAGGAAGGAGCCTGGGGTCCCCAGCCCCTCGGTCACGGGGCCACAGGCCTGTCTTCAAATCCTAACGCAATCCCTGTTTGCCATCTGAGACTTTTCCCTCCCCGGTTCTGAGCAGGGAGCTGGACTCTCTTTAGGCAGGGGGAGAGTTGGCTGCAGGACACCTGGTCGCTGTCTTTAATAAATATACGTGTTCCTTTTCACATTCGATTTCATTAAAGGCCACGACAAGGTATCGAACAGAGCTCCCTGTGCTGTACAGCAGGACCTCTTTGCTGACCTATTTTACACACAGTGGCACCTGCAAATCCCAACCCCTCAATTTATCGCTACCTCTTCTGTCCACCCAAGTCCTCTAAGGAGGCTGTGCCGGGTGTCCTGGGGGAGGGAGGGCCCGTGAGATGATGGATGGGGAGACGGATGCAGGTGGGTCCCCGAGGAGCATGGCTGTGGACCACTGGGCATCAGGCCCAGGGCAGGGCCAAACCACAAGGAGGCGGTTTCCCGGTGGTCCACGGAGGTAAGACCCCAGGGATGGACCCAGCCACGCCAGAGGCTCAGGGGCCCCCACCCAGGCCTTGAGGCCTCAGAGTCCCTGGGTCTGCAGGACACAGAAGTGGTCCGAGGCCACCATGTGGGCGGATCAGTGCTGGCCAGAGGGGCCAGTGTGGGCGCTGAACATGATGGGCCTCCTGCACGGCTCCAGGGAGCCAGAGACAGCTGGGCGTGGGCACCTCCTGCCCTCTGAGCTGGGGGCTGAGACCCAGGTCACCGCAGGGGTCACAGAACTCAGCTGTAGTGAGGCTCTCGGGGGTGTGGGTGTGGTCGGGTGGAGGTACAACAAGCATTTATTAGGCTCCTGCTGCATGCCAGGAGTGAAGCCAGGCCCTGGGCCTGAATTCGAGTAACAGGCTCCTGGCTTCCCGGAGCTTTTCACTGACCATCGCTCTAGCAGGAGAGGTTAGAGGACGAAGGGCCGGGGAAGCGCCCCCAGGGGGCGGAGCCGTCCCAGGAGCCAGGCGGAGGGAACAGCGCGGGGAGCAGGGAACAGCGC